CTACTTAAAGACACAGAGTCTTTTTTTAAAAATTAAAACGGGCCAAGAACGGCCCGTTCCAGAATAGAAATTTTAACATTTTTTTGAATCTGGAACGGTCTTGGAATGACCCATTCCGGAAGACGTTTTCAGGAAGTAGAACGTGGTTTGGAACGGGCCGTTCTGGTTTTGGAACGGACCGTTCTGGGCAAACAGTTAAAATGCTACAATTTAATCCTATAATTACTCTTATTTCTTCCTTTTCAAAACTTTTAGTGTTTTAGTCTTTAATTTTTATTCCAAAGTAACTAATGTTTTATAAATTTCAAATCTCAATAATTTCAAGTCGCAAAATATAGTATAAATATTAATTGAGATTATTTTAAACTATGCTTGACGGATGAGAAATTTTCCTATCAGAGAGAACACTTGGATGGTGAAGTGTAATAATTTGACTATTAATTTTTTAAATTTAATTTATAACAAAATATATTATTTTAATAAAATTGATTTAATATTTAAAAGTTTATCCTAGAATGATATTGTTGGATATCATATATTCCCTATAGTTCAGGGATAATTGTACGTTTTAAGCGTAAAATATTATCTTAAGTGGTTGTCTAAATATTATTTATAATTGATATTAAATGTTTCTTAACTTCTAAGCATTAATATTAAATATTATTTCACTCATCTTAAACTTTTGGCCATTTTAACATTCTTTTATTTATAAAGAAATATCATTAGAATTTTACAGTCTAATTAATATCTTTTTACTCAATTATACTCCTATCTAATAAGTATTTTGTTCATCAACTATTCACGTTTTTTTTACAAAAAAAAAAAGATAATAAAGTTAAAATAATGGGATATTAAGCAATAAATTTTTAGCTCACATTCATTGGATATTTCTTTATCCAAGTGATTTAACCTTAAAGGATTAAATTTGGGATGTAGTTATAGTTTTGAATTCTGATAGTAAATTTTAATTTTTAGTGTATTGTTAACATAAAAATTATAATAATATCAATTAATCAGGATTCGTGAAATATACAAGATAATTATTATGAATAGAATTTGTAAAAAAAAAAGGTAAAATACTTCTTTCACTGTTTGCCCAGAACGAGCCGTTCCAAAATCAGAACGGCTCGTTCCAAAACACGTTCTACTTCCTGAAACGTCTTCCGGAACGGGCCGTTCCAAATTCAAAAAAATGTCAAAATTTCTATTCTGGAACGGGCTATTCTTGGCCCGTTTAATTTAAAAAAAAAAAGACTCTGTGTCTTTAAGCAGAACGGCCCGTTCTGCTTCCGGAACGGGCCGTTCCACTTCCAACATTTGCCCAAAATGGGCCAGAAACACAAAAAAAAAAAAGAAAAAAAATTTAAAATAACTCGGAATTCGGTTTCCCGGGAACCAAATTCTGAGAAAAAAAAAAGTTTGAAGCTTAGAATTCGGTTCCCGAGGAACCGAATTCCGAGTATGAACAGTAAACATGTCTATTCCTGTAAATAAAGTTGCACATGTGTCATTTTTGTAATTTTTCTTTTAAAAAATATTATTTCCGTAAAAATTTCTAGTTATGTTATGATTTTTTTTATTCCGTTATTTATTTTTCATATTTGATCAACTCTACGTTTTTTTTTTTTTTTTTTCCATTTGAACATGTCACACATGATCATTAATTAAATCAAATCTGATTAAGCATTATATTGACGTACAGGTGAAGGCAAAATTATAACCATGAACTATAAGCGGGAATCAATTGGAGGATCTATGGACAAACTAATCATTCGTATGCATCCCGGTAAGTATCCTGTAAATTATATGAATATTTTTAGTTTTAAATATAGAACAAATATTTAAAATTATATATATATATATATATATAACATTAATTCATATTGATAAATAAACAAAATAAATTGTTTAAATTGAGGAATAAAAAATAAAATAAATTAAGAAGTTAGTTTTGGAATATATACTTATATATAAGATATATGATATGAAAAAGAAATTGAATACACTAAAAGAATATCTTAGTAATTAAAGCTGACGTTTCACAAAAGAAATTTACATGGAATATTTTTCTTCAAAATAATCATCAAAAAATCTCACAGTTTACATTGAAAAATACACGACCTAATATAAATATATAATTAAGATTATTTAGTTTTTACGCATATCTAAATTACATTTTAGGATTCAAACAAACTAAAAATTATATTACTACATTTAATATTGAAAAAAAATTAAGTCTCATATTAACTAAAGATATGATAAACAAAGAATATATAAATTGGAGGCAACCCTTGTCATGCAAAGCAGTTTTATAAAGTTAAATTATGTTCATAACTTATTAAGATGATATCAAGGTTATAATAGATCAATTTTAAAAGGATTATCCATCATTTATTCACACACAAGTTTAATCATTCATTTTTTGTCTTTATACCAAGTTTAATAATATTAGACACGAAAGAATGGTGTGTTAAAAATATGACAAAAAGAGTATTTAAATTGTGAAAATATCATAGTTATTGGTAGGCATCAAGAAAACGACTTAGTATAAGTTACTTATCCTAAAATAATCCTTTAAATTCATCTCAACTAACCTACACTTTTAGATCTCTATTATATATCAGGGCACCATCCCCTCTTTCTTTTCTTAACAAGCTATATTACCTGCTAATGACTTTACAATATTTATTTATAATATTTATTCATGAGTTTCAGAATTTTCCAAATTTCCAAATATATAATATTTATTTATAATGGTTAAGTGTTATTAATTAATAACATCTATCTTCACCAAAACTTACTAGCATAAGTGGTTCAGAACTTGTTTTGGTCAATCAAGAATTGTTCCTTGACTTGGATAAGAATATACAATCTATAAATAATAATACTTAACATTTAATAATAAGTTGATTGTATATAATAAAATAATTGATATTTTTTCATGACAGAGACTATTTTTCATTTTACTTGAGCGTGTTAAGTTGATTTTTTTTTCTTTCATAAATATAATTGATATAGTATTTAAAAATTGATAAAAATTACTCTGCACTCACGAATCGTGATAAGATGGAATTTGCATAAAACAAAAATTAGATAAGTCCAAGAATGCTAGGCGTTTACATGCGAAAAGCAGAATAGGTTAATGTAGGAGCACCCACTTGCTCCCTTGTGATTGTTTTAATTAATTAATAAGAATGATATAGGGAGCCCATAAATTAGTAAGAAAAAGTAGTCTATAAGTACGTGCCCCCATGCAATCTAGGCCTTAGATTCTATGACTTTCTTATTTTGGGACCCTTGAGAGTTGGGGATAGCTAAGGTTCGTTTGAAATGGGAACATAATTGAGTGATTATGACTCTATGATTTATATACAGCTAGCATAGCATAGGAGACATATACATATGCTATTGCTTATGTTGAGTGCTACAAGTGCCTAATTAAACTAAGAATTAATAACAAAGAAAAGGAAAAGAAGAGAGAATGTGCGTTAAGTTAAGGATGATCCCAGTCCCCGTCTCTGCACTCTGCACCCACGTGAACCATCCTTCTATCCAATGTCCCCACACAGATCCTCCGTATCCATACGTGGACCCTCATAAGGACACTCCGCAGATAATTTTACTCTAACCAAAAATATAATTTCCACATTCTAAATCTAATTAATAAATATTTTGACAGGGGAATAAATTAATACAATATGAATCCTCTCCGATATTGAAAAAATCCCGTAGGAGAGACACACACAAAATATGTGAAAGGTTAAAAAAAAAAAAACTTAACACTCAACTTCATTTTTATGTGTATCTCTTACTCAAAATGATGTAAGGTGATAATGAGAAAGACACAAAGAAAATGAGACATATTGATGGAACATTAAAAAAAAATTAAAAATCATTTTTCATCCGTGATTTTTAAATGTTAAATATTGTATGTTAAATCTGAGTTCTGAAAGTAAAATTTGAGTCATCTATTTTTATCTGTCTGTCCCCTAGACCTTTCCATATTAAATCGAACATGGGAGCCATATATTAAATGAAACCTGGGACAAGGATCCATGAAAGGGAATTAATTTGTAATAATTATCTTATTTTTTATATTCATTTCTTATAATGATTTTTATTTATATCACTCATCTTATTTTGCAATTTTCATCTCTTTACTTTCTACATTTTTTTTAAATAGAATACAATTTGTAAAACCTTATTGTACCCCATAGTCATTTTAAAAGAAAATGTTCAGTGTACATAAAAAATCATTAATACCATGCCAACTTTAATTTTAGAGAATTCTTTTTATAGATAGTTATATTAAAATAATTGATCAATAAATAATAAAATCAATTACATATAATATCATATATAATATTAAATATTTATCCTAAATAATTTTTGGTTCCTTTAATACATATAGTTGCTTTTATTTTATTTTGATCCTGCTCTTAAAACTTTTTTCTTCTTCTTTATTTTAGTTCATAATTATTATTACTTTACCCCTTATAAAATTATAATTTTTTTCTACCAGATTTCTCTTATGTTGAAGATTTTTATTCTAATCTCTATTATTTAGCAAATATATAAAATCTGTTTTTCAGTCTTTCTCTTTATTTCCCATTACATGCATTCTTTATCTAAAAAATGGGGTATGAGTGATGACATTTGGACACTTACAAATTTACAAATACTCCATTTGTACTTGTCATTTCCATTTCATCCAAAAATTTCTTATCTCTCCGCCTTTGGTATATCTGTAAGAAGTGTAGACATTCAAATATGATTTTGGCTCAAATTACTGTGTACTGGGGCGTACTTGACCTGTGTTACCGTTTCACCCTTATACCGATTGAAATTTAGAATGGCCCAAGATATGTGCTGTTTCCACAATGAGGCACGTGCCACCTCGACCCTCTCACGTGAAGAACCACGTGCCTTTAGTCTCACCTTCAGCCTCTGGTCCTCTGTCCTATAAAATGAGAGCCTGTATCTTACATCCTAGACACACAGTCCTTCTAATTTTCATGCCAAACCCTTTTTTCTTTCTTACTTCCTACAGATCCATTCCTTTCTATTTCTTTCTTTCTTTCTACGTTTTCTTATACGATCTACACGCCCCTTAATCTGCACATGCATATTTTTTTTTTTTTTTTAAATAATAATAAGGAGAAAGGCTTAGCAAAGAATCAAAGAAAGTGAGTGAGAGCAAGAATCTTCATCTTTCTGCATGTTGCGTACAGAATCTTTAAAGCGAAATCGTGCTTACGTTAACCCACGACGCTGTTCGAGGATTTTGTTCTCTTCTCTCGACCTTCCCAAGAATCCCAACATTCTTTCTTCTTCTCTCCCTCAACCAACCCAATAACTCCTCATCATCATCATCGTACACTACACACATGACATGCATGTATCTTCAATGATTCCGTAGCGAAACCACACGTACGTACGCTAGCTAGCTTGTGGGGTAGTTTTTAATTAATAATCCTCTTCAATCAATGGCCTTCAACAACAACAAGCATGTTCTGTTAACATTCGCAATATGCTGTTTAATAGTAACGGTGGGACTAACGGTGGTCCCAGAGCCGCTCGATGTTGGACTCGAGGGTCGACTGAGCGTGAACACGCGGGAGCTGGAAGCGGTTTCGGTGGACTTCGGGAGGCTGAGCAGAGGGGAGGCTTGGGCGGTGGTGCAGCCCGCGACGGCGGAGGACGTGGTGCGGGTGGTGAAGGCGGCGTTCGAAGCGCCGTTCGCGGTGTCGGCAAGGGGGCACGGGCACTCGATAAACGGGCAAGCCCTGATAAAGGAGAAGAAAGGAGTGGTGATTGAGATGGTAAAAGGTGGTGGTAGCAACAACGGCGACAAGGAGAATAGTATAAGAGTGAGTGAGAAAGGAATGTATGTGGATGTGTGGGGTGGGAGGTTGTGGATAGACGTTTTGAGTGCAACATTGGAGTATGGGCTGGCTCCCATGTCTTGGACCGATTACTTGTATTTGTCTGTGGGTGGAACCCTCTCCAACGCTGGAATTAGTGGACAAACCTTCAATCACGGTCCTCAGATCAGCAATGTTTATGAGCTCGATGTCGTTACAGGTAATTTAATTATGCATATATAAACTTTCAAACAATGTTCTAATTATGGCTTTTCACATACATATACACGATTCAATGCTATTAACTTTGTTATAGATTTTTAAATTATTCGACTTTTGTGGTGTTATTGTTGTCGGGTTTGTTATTAGTTTTATAAAAATAAATAAATAAAAATGGTGGTTGTACTAACTAGTTGTTCCCCGGGAGGAAAAGTTTTGAGTAAATAAAGAGTGATGTCCCACGATGTTTGTCATTTTGCTGAGTACAAATGAGGATGGTTTGTCTTTAGCGTGGTGAATTAGTAAGATAATTTGTAACAGGAAAGGGTGAGCTGGTGACATGTTCAGAAGATCGTAACTCGGAGTTGTTCCATGCTGTTCTTGGAGGTCTTGGACAATTTGGAATCATTACAAGGGCTAGAATTGCTCTCGAACCAGCCCCTCACAGAGTATGTGTATACGTACTTTTTTCTCCTTTTCTTACACCACGCACATACTAATATTTCATTTCATGTAAGAAACAAGTATTGTTATGACAATGTTTTTACCTATATAGTATACAAAGGGGTTTGGTCTAGTGAAAGCCTTTTAGATATCTGGGGTATGAAAGCGATACAAGAATAATCGATTTTTGATTCCTCGTGTGAAAAGTATCTCCTTGAAGAACATGTAAAGTTCTCACTGAATAATATGTCTATTTATTTTTACTCTTTGTAAATAAAATTGAAGTGTAAAAAAAAAAGTCGGTTGAAGATGACTTCCATGAGATGATAGGGCGAGGGGCACACGATAAGTCTTGTCTTGGAAATCTTTCTTCACATCAGCGACAAAACCTAAAAAGGGTCGTTTTCGAAAGGATGGTTTCAGTACTCTCCTAATAATATAAAGCTGGAATCCTAGTTTACGTGTCGCTTGCCTGGGAATTCTCTAATTTCATTAGTTTCTGTTAACAAACCCGTAATATCGATTAAGGAAAATTAATTATGACCAGTGACTGATGACCTATATAACAATTAGTTTAATTTTTATACATTATTAATTGTCAATTAATTAAAAATTATGATCTCAAAAGTAGTTATATTATTTATGATTGAATGTGAGCATATAATTATTTTTACTAGTGTATGTGCATTTATTATTTTCTCTTGATATCGTGTTAATATATGATAAATATTGAACATACAGGTTCGGTGGATAAGAGTACTGTATTCGAATTTTGCAACGTTTTGTAAAGACCAGGAGTATCTGATATCTATGCATGGGAAACCAGGAAATGAGAGATTCGATTATGTGGAAGGTTTCGTGATCGTTGATGAAGGGTTGATCAATAATTGGAGGTCTTCGTTCTTTTCAGCAAGTAACCCTGTTAAAATCACTTCTCTCAAAGCTGACGGAGATGTTTTGTACTGTTTGGAGATTACCAAAAATTACAACCAAGGCAACGCAGATTCTGTTGATGAGGTACACTACACACCCAACCCAACGTACACTTTCTCTTCTTTGTCACTTCCTTCAATTATAATATAATATTAATATTCACAGTTATATACTACGTATGCACATAACATAATGCGCTGTGACAATGAAATATTCATATATCATTAATTTTTGTGAGACAAGTTATCTTGCTTAGTTTGATATATTATGTGTCTGATGTGACCTTAATGCTGAAGGAAGGTGAGATAGAAATCAATGGAGTCTAACTAGTTAGTTGAGTAAGAAGTGTGAATTACTGTACACTGTTTTGGTATATTGTGTTAAATTCACATGAATAAAAAAAAGTGAAATAGAATTAATTATGGAAGAACGGAAAAATACATTAAAAAGTGTTTTTTAATTATTTAAAAAAGTAAGAAATAAGTTTCTAAAAAAAAAACTGACTTAAGTATATATGTGTATAGTTTTTGTACTATATAGCATCGATCTTTTACAAAGATCACTCTACGAAGCTTGCTAATTAATGAGCCCGTTTTATTTACTAGGAGGGTACTGGATTAGTTAAGTTATTTTTGAAGTAAACAAATTATTATACTAATAATAATATTTTAAATTATAGAACAAGAATAATAGTTGTAAATTTCTCATAAATGCTACTTGATACATTAGTATAAAAGAGGTATTCTACGTCGGTTATTTTGAGCGTTTTATGTCGGAAAAATACCGACGTTAATGCGGGAGACGTAAATCTACGTCAGCCCTGTAAAACTGACGTAAATTTACGACGGACATTACCAAGGTCCGACGTAAAAAAATAGTAAAAAAAAAACATAACGAGTGCAAGCAGAACGGCCCATTCTGCTTCGTAAAACAACCCAAAAGAAAAGGCCAACGACCTATACAAATAGAACAACCAAAAAACCGAATAGAACAGATAGCCACAATAGCAATGCGAAGCAAAAAGGTGTTAACAAAACCTTGATTCATACTTGATGAGCTGCAACAGTGTGCGAATGAGTAACAAAGAGTTCACCCCACTCTGTAAAAGACAAAAAAACGATTCAGTAACAAAGGAGAGGGAGAGGGTTTACAGAGAAAAAAACGAAAAGTGATGAAGAGTGAATGCACGCGGTGTGCCTCGCACTCTCTTATTCAATTTTGCGTCCTTTTTTTACGTCATCCGACGTAGATTTGACATTTTACGTTGGACCATACCAAGTCCGACGTAAAAAAGTTCGCGAAAATTACAAAAATACCACCGCATTTTTTTTACGTCAGATTTTAGTGTGTCCGACGTTAAAGAGGTGACGTAATATACTAATTTTTCACTAGTGATATATCATCTCTCCTAAGTTATTTAATTAATTGTGTTAAAATGTGAATAATTTAAACAATTCAGAAAAGGTACAGTATAATCCAAATATTAATGTTGTTTAAATTTTAAACACTTGATAAGATATATTTGTGCCAGATTAATTAGGTCTTCGGGTTTTGTCCAGTTTTTGTGCTTTTGGTCAATACATACAGGGAGGAAAAAAAAAATAACAGGCAAACATGAAAGGACAAAACTAATCGCATTGACTTGACCATCAATAAAAAATATCATTGATTTGCATAACAAATTAACAGACAAAGATGAAAGAACAAAAATAGCATTATTTAATACCACTTGTTTTTCCACATTAAACTTGAAGTTTTAATCTTTAGTCAGACTAGTCCGTCTGTTTTTCTCTATATCATTCTACATTTAAAAAAGGAACAGTCACGATCTAGAACATAGTTAATTGTCCATTTAATTATGATCAATTTTAAATAAATAAATACCTGTACTCAATTTGTTTAATTCAACATAATTTTCGTATTTGAAGTTTTACTTTAATATAAATTATTTGTTATTTTTAAAATTTAGAAATCACCAATTATTTTCTTTAACTGTACTTTTGTCTTTTAGTATTTTTATTAGGTAGAATGAGAGTGTTAATAAAGTGAAGGCAATATAATTAAATGAATTTATTCTTTTAAAATTAAAATTATTTAACAATTTTCTCAACCATATAAAATCTTAAAATTTAATCATTTTGAAACAAAAGAAACATGTCAAATCTCACAAATGTCATGTTCTTTCATTCACAAATTCATGCTTAGTATTAAACAGTTTGAGTTCAATTGATTGAGCGATCTATGTGATTTTGTAATACTGTACATTGTGTTCTATTTTCTAATTAATAAAAAAAGCATGCTTAGTTTAATAATTCAATGTCTTCTTTAAAATCAAATTTAATATTGTTGATGGTATCTTTTAAGTGCGTGGCTAAAAGCCAAGTGATTGCCTCTTGAAAGTAGCAATAATATATAACAATTTTCTCTTATTATCACTTTTGCCGTAGAATTCTATGACCAAAATATTTTATTTATTTTCATAATTTATTTAAATGTTAAACCTTGGTTGTTCCTGCATGGCTGTCCTCGTATATGATTATTCTCTGTACCCAAACATAGACCAGTCTGTCGTTGTACAACAGAATGCATAAAACATACAAAAGAAAACATGTGGAAGATCTTGTGCAATCTATCTTCTCGGTTCAATCGCAACATTGAAGGCAACCTTTTACAATAGTTAATTCCACTGTTTAAAAATGCCGGCACTGCAATAGAGTATTCTCTCACTTGTTTCTAATTCTAACTTCTCTTAATTCTTGACAAACCTATTTAACTACTTTAAATAATAGGGTTTGTCCCGACAAAAGCAGCCGCTACCTTTGCTAGCAGCTTTCTTTTTCATGTATAGCTATTTAATTTGGAAAAATAGTCAATATATTATACACCAAATGTTATTTAACTTCGATCGAAAAAGATGATGAGATGGAAATAGATGTAATAAATAATCTAATATGATGAAGTGATAAAGAAACATAATATATATACCATCACTCCTTCTTATGCTAATGTGTAAGAAATTGGTGTAGTATATATGAACATGATTCTAGTTTCAAACTGTTATTGTAATTTTGATTGATTAGAAAATATATATATTCAGCTTTTATAATTATACTTAAATAGAGAATTAATTGTATCTTTTTTATCCATTAGATTATTGTATGTGTCATTTTAATTAATCTTTTAATTTTATTATTAAGTCCTTTTATTTCTGAAATTAAACAAAGTTAATATGTCTATTATTTCTTTTGCAAAAACCTTTAAATTCTGATTTTTATTTAAAATATTGACAAATTAAATCATTTATACTTTTAAATATTTTTTTAATTCAAAACTTACCAACCAAGATATTAGAAGTAAGATTGATTTTGAAAATGAAAAGATTTAAAGTGTATATAAACACAAGTTTAAAAGGATTTGTAAGAGTTTTTTTTAAAATAAAAATTCTTTATTTTCAACTGAAAAATCTTAAAAATACTTCTAATTTGTATTTAAACAAACTCTTCCATAACAAAAACAACCTAATAAACTAAAACCCCACATACATCTATAAAGACATTTTCATACAGTTTATGGTGTGCAGGAAATACAATCTCTATTGAAGAAGTTGGATTTTATACCAACATCAGTGTTCACAACGGACTTGCCTTACTTGGATTTTCTGGATCGAGTACATAAGGCAGAGCTTAAGCTTAGATCCAAGGGTTTATGGGACGTGCCTCATCCATGGCTCAACCTTTTTGTTCCAAAATCAAGGATAGCGGACTTCGACAAGGGTGTGTTCAAGGGCATTCTTGGAAATAAGACAAGTGGGCCCATCCTCATCTACCCCATGAACAAAAACAAGTAAGTTTATTTGTTTCCGCATGCATCCATTTGCTACACTGTGTATATTGTTTCACTTATCATCTTCATGCTCATGCATGTCCTAGTCATATGTGTAGTAGAATAAAACCACTGCATGCTTGCAGGCATGCATAAATCTTCTCATATATAAACGACATATCCATTGCTGACACCCTCTTATCGTGTGTCAGTGTTGAGATCCATATCTTATCTCTCTTTTCGATCCCACTTGATTAAGGTATAGAACTATAGATATATAGAAGAAAAGAAATAATATTCAAAGGATTAATGAAATAGAGAATGAAGTTTTGTGATCCTATATATACATGAAAGAGAAAAACCGTACAACATAATATATATATATATATATATATATATATATATAACATAATATTCAAAGGAGTATTCTACAACGAATATTCCCAATAATTATGGAACTTAATGATAATGTGTGAAGATTCTCTGAAGGATTGATTGACTGATAGTACTATTGTCGGAATAAATGGAATAGGGAATAAATAAAACCTGCACGTATATATTAATCCTTAATGACAAATGGCGAATCTGTTTGCTTCTAACGTTCATTATGGATGTGTACTAATCTAGGTCTTCAATAATTGGTGAATGAATTAATTAAAAAGACAAAAGTATCGCGGTTGAACAAGAGCTACAGCATAAAATGTCTTAATAAAAAAAAATTAGGCAGAGCTTAACCTAATGTAAAATGTGAAAAGAAGAAGAAGCGAAGTGCATGTAGCAGAAAGAGATGAAGAGACACGAGGGTTGTATTGTAGCCAACACAGGAGATAAAGATTGATCTGCATCAAAGCCAGCAAGGAAGTGGCACGTGTTATTATTTTGGCCTTCGTGAAGAGCAGAAGCAAACAAAATGGATGGCCATGATGATCCAACTTGGGGGGATTCTGCTGTCAGAAGATCTTCCATGGGGACCCACACCTTTATAATGGTAGGGATGTCCTCTCATACTTAACTAGTTCCACAAACACCGCCGTATGTGCACCCAACCATCCACCTCTAGGTTGAGGTCAATAACAACATAAACATATTAAAATAAAAATAAAAATAAAACATGCATGTTATAAAAGAGAAAGCACGTATATGTATGTATGTGGACATAAAGAATGTAATGGTAGTAATAATTAAAATTGCGTTGCATGTTGGGTGGCTAACCTAACCTAGGCGTGTTGTCTGACAAGTCAAAGGATTGTTAACAACGTAGTAGCAAAAGATGATTTTGGTGATGGTGATGGTGACGTGCAGGTGGGACCAAAGGAGCTCGGTGGTGACACCGGAAGAGGATGTGTTTTACCTGGTGGCATTTCTGAGATCAGCATTGGATACTGAGACGCTGGAGTATCTGAGTAATGAGAACCGTCAGATTGTGAGATTCTGCCATGATTCGGAGATCAAGGTGAAACAGTACCTGCCCCATTACACTACGCACCAGGAGTGGATGGACCACTTTGGCGATAAGTGGACCCAATTCAGTGCCAGGAAGATGAAATTCGATCCTCGCCAAATCTTGGCCACAGGCCAGCAAATATTTCAATTTGATCCCTCCAACCCCCTCACCCTCACCAACTATATTTAGTGCAAAACAAACAATTTCTCCATTACATAAATAAGGCAAGTGTTGTGTTGTACTATTGCATTGCATGTCATTAGCTAGGAGGATCATACCAAAAAGAAAAAAGAATTAGGAGTAGGGTTTTTGTTATATATATATATATGATATGCATGAGGTTAGGTAAATGAAGAAGGATTAATAGAAGTGGTAGTTGATGATGATAACATAAGAAGTGGTGGGCCCTTGGCAAATGGCAATGTGCACATGACATGTATTGTGCAGCGCCCGTGATCCCGACCGCTCGTCTTCGTTTCATTGTCTCCTCCATAAACATGCAGCTGTGTCCAGTTCCACTTCTCTCAATGTTTCTTATTTTTCATTGTATCCCCATTTTAAATATGTATCTTTAGCTTCTAATGCCTATCCAAATTTGTCCTACATATATTAGATCTATCTCTACGTGGTTTCAATGACTAAGTAACGCCTGAAAACTTAGTTGGAAACATCTAATCAGTTACTCATAAAACATAATCCTCAGTATTTATCAATAATGTTAATAATTTAAAAGTTTAATAGGCTGCATTGCGTTGGCATGATAAAACTTTATACAGTCAACTAATCAAATTTGACTTTATATCACTTTTAATATATTTATTATAATAGAAGTTAATAATTTATTTAAACATAAATATAATAAGTAATATGATAAAGAAAAAGAGATAAAGACAAATGAAAAGTGTTGATTAAGTATTAAAAAAATTGAGGTGTTCACATATCCCGAAAATTTGGACACTTAAAGTGCTTGGATAGCTACCAAAATCAATTTTAGACACAAAATATTTAATGTTTTAGAAACAATTTATTCATGATTCATTTAATAATAATACAATATAATACATTCATTATTCGATTTTTTTGAAAGAATACTCAATAAATTCATTTGAAAATTTTATTTTATTTAAAAATATACTTTTATAAAAACAATATTTAATGTTTATGCACATTCGTCTTTCTAAACATTGAAATCCAAGATTCATCCCACAACTTTTCATTTCATAAATGAATTGAAGAGAAATACTGACGAAATCGTTTGCGGCATAGAATTTATTTGATTGTGTTTTTCAATTGATTAAATTCACTTTTTATGTTTTAATTGACTAAAATCATCTTTTGTACACATTGATCAATTAAATTAAAAATGATTAAAAGCCAATGAAAAAAATTCTACTTCCTATTTTTTTTTCAATTAAGCACTCTTATTTTTATTTATTCTAATTTTTTCCTTTTTTCTTCACTCACTTTATTACTTAACCACCATTGTTTTCTTTTTACAGATCACACTCTTAACGTAATTCGGACGAACCGTGGATTTGTGAAAAAATTCCACAATTTTGGCTGAAAGCTGTTCCTGACTTAATCGAAATCTGGAACTAGCTTTAGATACTTCATCACTGCATTTGGTGCAGCTGAAATAGCTAAGACAAGAATATCGTGAAAAACAGCCATTTTTGCAGTTTGGTAGACAGAAATGTCGAAGAAATACATAGAAGCGCACAAAACCAATGCTAAAAAGCTTCACAAAAATACAAAGAAGTGTGAAGAAATGATACGGTAACTGGCAACATATCCATTATGCTGCATGACATACTCAATTATGTGGCTTTTTTTTACGCTATCAAACACAACATTACGTTGAAAACAGATGATTTTCTGCTTGGTCGACTAGCTTATAGTTTCTCAAGTCTTGCAGAAACTTAATTTGGTGGAACGGAGGTTGGGAACTGTAACAGGGAATAGTTTTTCACTGAGGATTGTAATCAAGGTATTAGGATTGAAGATGGTAGAAAACGAAATGGTCTAGTATTGAAGATAGAGAGAAGTTCCCGTTTTATTCTCACCAGGGCAACAAAATTCGATAACCACCCTATCATCATTCATCTCTTAGTCTTTAGGCTCACATTCAAGAACACAATTTTCAGAACTACTCAACAAGTATCCAATCTGATGATTATGAATTTTTTCCTACTCAACAAGCATAAAATACTACCCAACTAGTTGATAATATATAAATTACACCTTCCGAGACTAGTTGCGAGAATATGGTGTGTGAAATATACTTTTCAAAAAGAGGAAAATTGAGAAGAATGAGATTTTCACTTTTCAAGCTAGAGATGATTGGGGTAGATTAAATAGTAAGGATGGAATATGTACAATAAAATGAAAAAGAATTCAGATAAAATGGCCATTCCCATATACTAAAAAAGCATATAAGAAATTCAGCGTTGTCATTTTCCTCGCCAGCACGACCCCGAGCTGCCCAGCTATCTTGGCCACAATAGAAATTTATAATTAATTTTGTTGTGTCCAGAAGACCCGAAGCCTGGGGAGCAAAGAATACAATGTGGACACACGATAAAACAGCACAACCATTTCTTAGTATGATTGGTAAATAGTGCTCCAACAGCAGGGGTAATTCTGTTTCGTTCCTCTCTAGGATTAGGAGGAAGCCCATCACCATAGCGGTTGAAAGATTGAGCAACAGAGACAACTAAACCATGTCTTTCTCATTACAGATGATTTTATGCTTCAAGAGAACAATAACTCGACTAAGAAATGGCAATCAATGAAACACTAGCAAAGAAATATCAAACTTACCTGCAGAAATAATCTGCACTAATTTGAATCATCTTCCACTTCAAGTTGCTTCCCAAACTTTCTTAAGGCAAGTGAATATATAGTTTTTCTACTCACTGATGTTCTGCCGGTAACCAATTTGACAGCCTAAAAGCACACCGACAGTTGAACTTAACAAACAAATGCATTGGAATAACAGATTAACTCAATAGTAGAAATGACTGAGTAAATCAACTGAGGTAAATTAGTAGATAATTTTAAGTCAATTTTCAGGATGATTAAAATTCAACTCTAAGGGACTAAGTAAAACAGAAAAACAGGAGATTTAGATCAAGTGAATACTGAATAGTGAGATGTATTAAGACTGAAGATTAGAAAGTTTTCTTAGCTGAGCTGGTTAGGATTTTTTCACCAAAATGAGGGGGCAGCGTCAATTAAATGAAAGGGAAAAAGTGACGACCATCTTCAGTTTAAAATGAATATTTGTCCATAATATAGATACTAACTTCTTTTATTTTTTCTCTTTTTCTG